CCCCCCCCCCCCCTCTTATTGAGGAAATGTTCGGGGGTTCCACATGCCCCTTTTCAGACTTCAGGATACCCCTTTTTTTCCCCACACTTCTGACATCTATAACCCCCCTTCCGATCTTTTCTTTGAGGGGCCAAGTATGTTGGATTTACACCCAACGTTCGGAATAGGCGACTGCAGCAATTCCCCAAATGGAGCCAAAAGGGGGACCCCCCCTAAGGGCGTCGTTCGACACACCTCAGGGTGTCCTCGGGCTCCGAGGACGAATCCTCGGAGTAATTTTTGATTTTCGGAGGTGTCGTTCCACCTGTCCTCGGAGAATTGCCCCGAGGATGAATCCTCGGGGCCCTCCCGCGGCCAGTTTAATTAGATTATACAGAGCCGCGAGAGGAATGTCCGGCCTCCGATTCGGGATGTCCGTGTAGCAGGCGTGGTGGTCCAAAAGGCGGACAGCGGGAAAACGTCACGGGCCATTGGGAAAAAAATCGACCAACGCGGGAAAATCCCCTTTCGAAATTCGAATTTCGAATTTTGATCTTGCGGAGCGACGTGGTGGCGGCGCACAGGCGGGTCGGCCAGGGGGCAGCCTACGCTGCGCAGGGTTTCGTTTGCCATTGCGTTGCGCATTTCAGCGGCGCCGCACCGCCACTGCGTCAAGTGTGGTCGACGCGGCGAAACGAAGACGTCCGGTAGGCAGTCGCGTTCGCCACGTGCAGGGGCCGCGACGGTCCTGCTCTTCAGCGGCGGTGGGTGGACGCTCCAATCGGAATCGCATCGTTGGGCCAGGCTGTCTTCCTGACGTGGTTGCAGGCGTCTTCAAACGTGACGGCAGAGGTGCACGGAGGTGGGCGGCGGTGGACGTCGTTTTTTGTCTTCGAAGGACGTGATGGACGGCTGCGATGGCGATGGACCTGCTGTGCTGTCGACGACGAAGAAGACAGCTGTCGCGGCGGCTGCGGTTGCCGTTGTCCGTCGTTTCCAAATCGAGAGTCCGGCCGGGCGCATGAAGGCAACGCTTTCAAGGCGGCGGCAGAGGCTACTGCTGCAAAGGGTGTTGGACGCCTCGGACTGCATCACCACATCCCAAGCCGTGGTTCAACTGTGTGCTGCAGTCGGGTGCGGTTTGCTTCCTCGGGCGACGCCACGTTGATGGATGCGGCGGAGAGCTGGCGGGACTTGGGAGGATTTACGGGTGTGCGATGACGCGACAGACGACTACTTCCGGGAAAAGCTCCGCATGTCCAGGAGAGTGTTCATGGAGATCAGTGAAGCATGTGCGCCTCATGTGCAGCGGTAGGTGACGTTTTACAGGGAGCCACTATAGCCGGAGCAGATCGTCGCGTACGCGCTGTATACGTGGGTCACAGGAGAGTCTTACGATAACAGCACATCATCCTTCGGCATGGGCAGGACTTCCGGAGTTCGAGCCGTGCGCGATGTGACAGCCGCTATTTTGAGGGTGTACGGGGAGAAGATATCGTGGCCGACGGGGGTGCGGAAACAAGTCGTGCTACGGACATTTCTGGACAAGGGCTTTCCAAACTGCCATGGCGCAGTTGACTGCACACACACGTCTACGTGGACAAACCGGCGAACGTGTCGAGCGAGAACTACTTCGACCGCAAGCACCATTTTTCCGTCATTGCGCAGGTTGTGGTGGACCTGGATCTGCGCGTCCTTGATGTGTTCATGGGATATCCGGGTAGCTGCCACGACATTAGGGTGATCCAACTGTCAAGTCTGTCGAGGCGCGCGGAAGAGGGATTGTTGTTTCGTGGGCCGCCTGTGACGCTGCCGGGAGGGGTGACGACGAACGGATATATCTTGGGCAACAACGGGTATCCTCCTTCTGAGTGGGCGGTGGTGCCGTACGGAGGAATCAATCAGCACCCAGACGAGGAAAGGTTCGACACGAAGCAGAAGGTCGCAAGAGGGGCCGTGGAGAGGGCGTTCGGGAGGTTGAAAGGGATGTGGAGGCTCTTCCTGCGGACGCACAAGACGAACCTCGACAGTCTGCCGCAGCAGTTCACGGCGGTATGCATTCTCCACAACATCCTGCTCGATGCAGGAATCGAGTTCGACGAGAATCTGTTGTGGGAGGTCGACGCGAACGGGGTGAGGCGGCGAGTGGACCTGGGGATTCNCGAGTTCGACGAGAATCTGTTGTGGGAGGTCGACGCGAACGGGGTGAGGCGGCGAGTGGACCTGGGGATTCATCGCCCCCCGCAGCCAGTGTCCATGTTGACTTCGACGCGCGAGGCTCATGCGCTCCGTAATGCACTGGCGCAGCGGATGAAACACGTTTGATCCATCCAGCCACCTACCTGTTCGTCCCGTTGAAGTCGTGTCTCGCCATAGTCGGTCGCCAACTCTTCCGTCTTTCGCTCACGTGCGCGATCGCCAGTCAGGGTCTGCCTTCGCGGTCGGGTTCTTTTCAGGTGTTTGTTCTTGTATTCCACGACGCTGCATAGGTCCAGTTCGTCGCGCAGCGGGAGTGCGACGGGATCGCTGATGTAGTATTCGTCCTCTGCGGTCGTCTTTTTCGTATTTTGGCTCTTCATTGTCGTAGTGGCCGAGAAGTTGGTTTTCCCGCGCAATGTCGTGGAGTCGTCTATGGGTTCGGTCGTTGTCTGATGGAGGGGGGTTGTCGTAGACGGGAGTCGTAGTCGAGGGCTGGCACGAAGAGGTTTGTGAGCCCGCTGTTTCGCATGCGCTTCACAGCGCCTTTTTTTTTTTGGAACTTTCGAACGGTGAATTTTTTTGATGATGTTTGGGAATGGATGTTTTGGTGTAGCCGACTGCTGCTATTGTTTCGAGGGATGTTGTTGTTGTTGTTGTTGTTGTTGTTGTTTTTTGCGGTGCATGGAACGTGTGTTGTGCATGTCGTTTCGGCTTGTCTGCATTTGCGAAATGTTGTCGGAGAAGCTTCGTTGTTGCATTGACGAATGACATGCATCGCGTTTGTGAATTCGGAAAAGCTTCGTTGTTGCTTTGACGACTGACATGCATCGACAAACAAAAGAAAGATGAACTCGCGACATATGTGCTCATCAGGCAACTGCGCTGTGACCTTCCTTTGTAGTAGTTCAAAGTTTTCGTTTTTATTTTTTCCCCCTTCCTTCATGGTAGGTGCAATCATTAGGATCTGGCGATGGCATGAGCAAGGGAAACACGGGCGACAAGCATCTGAAAGATGACAATGAAAGTACATATTTGGGTTCCTGCCTGTTTTCCATTTATTTCTTTTCTTTGTGAAGTTCACGACGATGACAACGATGCCGCAATAGGTCAAATCGAAAGAAACGGCCTCGTACACAAGAAGATGCGGACGACAATGCGATGGCCATTCATGTGTGCGTCATGTGATAAAACCACACAGAAGACAACGACGACATGACTCCGTGCGCAATCTTTAGCATGCAAACACATGACATGGAAACAACAACACACATTTCACAGAGTTCATATTACATAAAATCAATCGCACAGGCGGCGATTCCCCCTTCTGTCTGACTACCAACACTTCAAGCGTTCCCCACTATACACGGACTGGCCCTGCCGTCTACGCACATTTTGGCGGAGCACTCCGCCGACCCAATTAACCCTGCGGCGGAGCAAACGTACCAAGTGCGCTCCAATCACCTAATAATGACACAAAATAAACGAATGCATCGTTCACTACACATGCACAACGACGACTGCAAGCTCGCATATGCATGATAACACTCGAGACCACACGTCGTTGGAGCCGCCACGACCACCCGCCTAACGCTTCTCCCCGCCAACCAACCCAATCCCCCCACAACCCTCCACCCCCGCCCCCCCCCCCCCCCCCCCCCCCCCCCCCCCCCTCTCTTCCCCGTTGGAAAACCAACACCAGCCGGCACCCATCCCGCCCGTGCTGCCCCGTCTGCGGTCGCAGGCGCTGCGTTAGTCGTTGCGTTTTTCAATGCTCCAATTAGTCGACGATCCGCACCCTGACGCTGCATCACGGACGCACCCACGTGTCAACCGTCCTCGTCTCCCACTTCCTCCACCGCGGGCCCGCTGCCAATCCATCCGTGTTTTGCGGCTTCCGCCACGTTCTTCAAGGCCGCATTGTGGCCGAACACCAACCCGCAGTCACACCATTCGGGAATGCAGTGCGGGTATTCTCCGAGCATGAGGTGAGCCTTCCCTGTACGATCCAAGACGAGGTTCGCGCTGTCGACGATGTGTCGCTGCCAGTTGAAGATGTAAGACCCCGCCGCTATCATTGTCAGTTTGGCGACCATGGACGAGTAAAGGCACGCCTCGTAGTGCGAACAGTCGTCGTCACCACCCATGCGCATGATCCAGATGCACGCGCTCAACAACGCTCGAAGACTGTCGTCCGCCCATTGTCCACTCCACAGTGCGTGTGTCTAACACTCCGCGATGCGAAGAACTGTCGCCTCCTGCCGCGCCGCCATGTCGTCGTCCTCGGGCCGATCCACAATCTTCACCCCCGCGAACCACAGAGGCACGTCCATGTTCATCGCCAGAGTGTGGTACACGAGGGCAGGGGACACCACGTTCGACCATTCCTGCCCCTGCCAAACTGCTCGTGTGACGGTCGTGGCAATGTCGATGCTGACGTACGACTTTGCACGAGCGAATCCAACCGACCGCGACGACGATTTGAAGATCCAGCCGTGGATGGCGTGCAGCACCAGTTTCTCCACGCTGCGCGCTCTACGCAGAGCCGGTTCACGCTGCGCAGGGTCCTCGACCTTGAAGAGCGGCACGTCGTTCGGCGGCAGTATGAGCATCGTAGGCGGTTCCGCTCCTGCGTCTCCGTTGGCGATTGCGATGAAGTAGTCCGCGCACTCGCCAACCGCCTCCCTCAACGGTTTCCCCGGTCCCTGACCCCAGAAAGAGTCGCAATCAACCCACAACTTCGATCTTTCCTTCAGACCATCCTCCTTTGCGGATCCCTTCAACCTCGTCACAAGTGGACGGTCGTCGTCGTCGTCGCCCTCCCGCTTTGCGTCTCTTCTTCCCTCGTCGTGGCGGACGTCGTCTACCCTCTCCTCGGCCGCACCTTCGGCGACTCCGCTTCTACCACTGTGATCCGCCGCCGCCGTCCGAGTGCCGACGGATGCGGGGATGGGCAGGACGACGATCAGGGATCGACGCGGAATTCAAGTTTCAGCGGCGGTGGTGTGGGCGGGTGTGGCAAAAGGAAGAATGTGAGACAACAGACCTTCGACATGATTGAGAACGTCATGAAGGACCACGGGAGTCTGATGGCGACAATGGTGGACAGCGCGAGCAAGAGGCAGTGCTCAATTCTGACTAGGCAATGCGACATTCTCGAGCGAGAGCTAGAAGTGCAGAAGGAGCACTACGTGAAGGCCGACCAGGCGAACCTGTTGATGTGCAACTCCCTTATGGAGATTGCTAAAGTGATTCGCGAACGATCATGAAGTCGATGGGCCGCACATGTCCAACGTCCACGCGAATGCCTCGTGTGTGCTTCCGGATCGTCGGCGTTGCCCCCGCACGCAGTTGTGTGGTGGTGGGCAGGTTGTGTACAGAGGACGGGTCGTTTCCGCAAGCAGTTTCCATTGCAAGAGTCAAAATTTTTGATTAGTTTGAAAGGTGTTGATTGCTGTTATGCCCGTCGGCGCGTCATTTAGTTTCAAATTACGACGCCCGATTTTTGTTCAATGCCTGTTGATGTGACGCGTTGCAGCCATGCGCGGATGGGATCCAGCAGGGATTTCTTCTTGG